TCCTCCATCAGCTCCTCCCAACAGAAACACGTCCACCGTAGAAACATTCCTTTATCCTGTTTCTATCATTTCATCGATGCAACTAAACCTAAACCTGGAGGGCGGTGAAGCGGTGAGAGCGTTCACTGCTCCTCCATCACCTCATGATGTGACATTTGATCCAGGATTAACATTTAATCAGGAATGTTTATCATATATTTAAGCCCACATGGTCCTTTTCTACTGTGGGATAAAACACTTAGAGGCTGCGCTGCCATACGAGGCAAATATAAGACTATTACATTTCTGCGGCTCTTTCTGAGGCAGATTTATTTTGAGTTTTTTTGGTCCAATATGGCTCTTTGACAGTTTGGGTTGCCGACCGCTGGGTTAATAGAAAATATTAATTAGGCTATGGATGCTTCCACCATCCCCCTTCTTTCTTTTGTACCACTAGATTACTGATTGTGATGCAGCGGCGGCTCACCTTGTCTTTTTTAAACTCCTCATACTCCGGGTTGTCGGTGGGAAGTTCCAGTCGGCAGAGCGGACAGGAGTTGGTCTGAGATCAGATGGAAGAGAAGGTTTGACTGTAAAGGCGTAGAAACGTAAAATGTGCTCCGCAGACGTGCGAGTCGTACCTTTCCCAGCCACGGCAGGATGCAGCCGGAGTGGAAGAGGTGCTTGCAGGGCATTTCCCGAACCGTCTCCTGTTCCTCGAACTCCAGCAAACACACGGGACATTTCAGGCCTTTGTCTGTGGGGACAGAGAGCCAGATGAAGTCCCTCAGACGTTTTCCCAGCAGAACAGAAATCCTGACTGGAACCAGAGGCCGTCACCTGCTTGCTCTGCAGAAACCACCACCACCGTGAGGGTCTGAACGGCGGCTTTGGCTGCTGGAGGAGGAAGCCGCTGATCCCAGTCCGACGGGTCGAACCCCCCGGAGTCGATCAGGTCCAGACCCTGCATCAGAGACCTGCAGACAGACAACCGTCCCTCAGCCAGAACCTGCAGGAGGCATGGAGGGAGGGCTATGACAGGATGCAGCTCACCTGGCCAGTTCCAGCAGCGCGTTCTGCCGATATTGCTCCTCAGGGTTGGTGGGCTCACAGTCATGTTCATCAAAGTAAGACGCCATGTTGGTCTGCAGAGAGAAACAGTTATTGTCATTTATAATCTAATAAAAACAACTGGTCTTAGTTAGAAGCAGATGTTTTTCCAGTTCAGAGCACGTTAACAAAAATTAAACATTTATAAAGTATAAAAAATAAAATCTGAACTTAGATTTTCCTCAACTTCAGCTTTTCTTTTTTTAAAGCAGAACAAGATTTGGGCGGTAAAGAGAAGTAAACAATCAACTTTAGGACTTTGATAAACATGAACCGATATCTGATGACTTTAAACATTTCTGCTGTAAATAAAGTTTACTTTGTTTTTGTTTGGTTTTTATTTCTCATTAAATATCCGGACTTACCGCAAAGCTCACCGATAAGCATTTGTCATTCTTCCTGGTTCTGCAGCTGGCTTCTACGTAACGCTCCGTCTGTCCAATCACAGCAGAGAAGGGGGATCTTCTTCTTCTTCTTCTTCTTCTTCCACTGAATAAAGAAAGGCATCTCAGTGCTGCCATCAAGCGGTTATTGGAGACATTCCATCCAAATGTTTTCTTTGGATTTTCCATTTTGAACGTACAAAAAAAAAAAAAATACCTGAGCCTGAACGATGACATGCCGGACATTAGGCCCCGCCCCCCACCACACGCGCTAAAGGGCTCAGATTTCTCTTTAAAAAAAGATATATCACGCCCACCGCAGCTTTTAACCACTGATCTGCCTGTTGGTAGTGAAGCCACCGGCCGCCATATTGGTACTCCCTACTCGGTCGCAGTGTAAACAATCCGTGCGCTACAGCATCAAAAAACGATGATGTTCGCTTTTTCAGGGCGACTTTAATATAAAAGTAAATTCATCTCTTTGACACAAACTGGCTGTTTCAGAGCATCAGTTAAAAAAAATCTGCCCATCACATCGCAGTCATGATGAAGTCACTGAAGTCTATAAATCGTGTAATATGACATATTATACAATCCATCACAATAAAATGAATGTGTTAATGGAGCAGAATAATACAGATGAGCCAAAAGTGATAAATGGATAAACATGTGATAGACATGGATTTATGACATTACATATAATTTCAAGATTTTACATCAAGACTGAAATTTTTTTTTTCTTGGTTAGTTCATCCACTGACTGTGAAATTAATTACCTGTGAAAGGTTTTCCCACAGCCTGCAAACTGCTTGTTTTAGCAGCTCACTCCGTGAGAGTGGGGAGTACCAAGATGGCGGCAGGAGGTTTTTTCGGGCTATCAACAATCCAGTGAATAAATTGAGATCAGTGGTTTTAACCCCAACTCAAGTGGAGCCTAAACTTCTCCAGGTGCTGCCAGGTGATTGGCTGAGGCGCAGCAGACTTCCCTGGGATTTCGTCCTTGTAATTCCAGTATTTGTCCAGCAGATGGAGCCATTTCCCCAGCCTAGACAACCCTGTGGAATCCAAACCACCATCCACGTAGCTTCAACTAGTGTTGGTGACCATCTTCTGGTTTCTATGAACTAAACTTTATTTAAAAGGGAGACGTTTTTCTGCACTTTCAAATACAAAACGTTCTCCTGGAATATGATCCACCTAAACAAAATACAACTGTTATTTTGCTCAGAGAAATGGAGTGATTATTAAAATTAGATTGATTAAAAAGATTCATGACATGGTGGAGGATTTTCATGAATTAATTAAAAACTTCGGGAAAAAAAAAAAGCACATGTACAACTCTGTGCTTAAACTGCGAGAGCGTGCATGAGCGCATTTCTCCTCGTACACTCTGTTTAAAAGTTGCTGTTTGCATCGTTCATACAAGCTTTCTTTCCAATAGAAGATTTGTAATTTCTCCACTATGTCAGAATCACCACCGGTAAGAGAATATTGGGGGCGAGCAAGTAGGACGGCCCTACATAAACATATCACCAGAATGATTGACGGTTAGGAGGACCACTTATTGAGATGATGCACCAGGAAGAACATCCTCCACTATACCTTTAAAACCAAACCAGAAAATGTAGAACATGTTGAAAAATGTCACCATCAGACACATTGGTAGGAAAACAGTTTTATTTGCATAGACAGACTAACGATGATTAATCACTTTTCAGACCGACGATCTGAGAGGAAAGGAGAGAAGAAGGATCTGAAGGAGGCGCAGCTTTGGTTAAATAAAGGAACCAGACTCCTGTAACATGTATTTTTTTAAATAAAGAGAAGAAATACGGCTGCAAAATTCCCTGAACAAGATGAAGAGACTCCACCTAGTGGTCAGTAGAAGCCGCTGATGCTAAGGGAAAGGACTGGAATCGCCCCCCCACCCCCAGCAGCTGGATTAGAACCGCGATCCAGTTGAGAGTGGAGCTACAGACACTGAAACAAAGCCGCTCTGCTCACCAGTCTTCTCTACCTTCACCAGTTCAGCTGCTGCTCCACATCCATCCGTTTCCTGACAGCGATCCCAGCAAACTAAAGGATGGTTTATGAAAATAAACTGTAGGTGACCGCAGGCAGGAGGCCTCTGATTGGTCAGTTCTACATCTGCTCTACTCTATGCATATTTCCTGTTTGGTAGCTAATGGCAGAAACTCTGGCTGTAGCTCCGTCCACAGCGCCTGGCTCACCTCAGACTCTATCCCAGACGCCGTGCAGGACGCTAGTTTGTAGCTCTGTGCGACGGTCTGTTGGTTTGCACCTGAAGCCAAAACACGCAGCGTCACGGCCAGTCTTTGAGGAACACTCACGGGGAAACTGTGCGTCGTCCGGCGTTGGATGAGGGGTTGTAGATGGTGAACAAGCTCGTCAAACCGAAACACGGACACCTACAATCAAAGCTAGTTCCTAATTATCCCTCTGGCGTTGTGGCGTGGAATAACATAGCTCAGACCACGCTTCAACATTGGGCATAAATCAAAAATATCTGCATCATACCTGCGACAAGCTAACCGCCACACGCTGCTGCGGGAGGATAACCAGCCCTTGAGGGTGCGCTCCGCGCCTCAGCTCCTCCTCACCGCCGAACCAGAGGTTACTGAACACATTCCCCGCAGCTACTTTGGATACGATGAGGAACGATGCGACGGCGCAGAACGTTTAGGACCTTCTACATGAACTCAAACATCTCCTGCATGTCCAGGAGTAAAGATGAGGAGGGAAACGGTGTGAAGGTGACATCAGGAACTGAATCATTAATGGAGGAAAGAATCTTTAGCTTAGCAACATGGTTTCCACGCTTCCTTACTGCTGAGCAGTCAGACATCACTGCAGAGGGACTTCACTTTTCCTGTTCTCAGAGCGACCTTCTCTTTCTTCTACATTCCAAGAGTCTAAACGCCGTTCTGACATCATATCTGCTTTGAAGAAAACAAAATCTAACCATGTGATTTCTGAGTTAAAACCACAGGTCGTTTTTCCTTCCTGTTTAATGGCTGCTAAGCGACACTCAGCCAGTGAGCGAAGCAGTCAGAACTCAGAAACCAAACCGGACGTCAGGAACGCCGGACGTTTTCCAGACAGGAACGCCGCGTCTCATTTCTGGTTTGATCCGATTCATCAGATCCACAGACCAGCTGAGAGCCACCAAAACGTTTAACATGCAATCAGGACTCTGCTTCAAGGACAACACTTCAACGGTTGCTACCAAAACGTTTCCACACCCCATTTAAAGCACAGAACTACGACGCAGAAATCAGAGACGTTATGAGAAAGATCGGAATTTTCAAAAAAACAATGAGTTTTAAAACGTTTGTCGGACGGATAAAAAAGTGAATACTTGACCTAAGTGTTCCTTCATAGGGGAGGGGCTTAAAAAACTATTATGTGAAAGGAGGCGGAGTCGAGACGCAGGCCGCACCTTGTTCTGGATGATATCTATGTGTAACAGTGCATCATTTCTCCTCAACTTCCCACTTTCCTGTCAGTTTATGGCATAAAGTCTAGATCGCACTGAAGGTAGTGACGTCACTAAATGGTCGAAAGTATATTTGCACACGTTGGTTAAGAGGAAGTGTCTAACTGAAGAGCTTGATGAAGCAGCCCTGGCAGTACGGCTTGTCGTTCTGCTCTTTGAAGGTGCCTTTGTTAAGCTGCTTCAGGCAGAAGGCGCAGACGAAGTGCTCCGGGTGAAACTTCTTGGCCATGGCGGTGATGCAGCGCCCCGTGATGGGCTTCTGGCAGCCGGAGCAGAGCGAGCCGCGCCGCTCGTGGTAGTGAACCTCGCAGTACGGCTGGCCGTCGTGCTCAAAGAAGCTTCCGTTCACGAACGGGGTGAAGCACTCCTGCAGACACACAGCAAACAATACTGGGGTTTAACTTCCTGTTTCATCCAGAATCAAACGGAGGGAAGAAGAAGAAGAAGAAAATCTACAACTATATATAAATATACAAACTCTGCAGACGAAACACTCCGGATGCCAAAGGCAGTTGAGGGCAGAGATGTAGTTCTCCAGGATGGCTCTGGCACAGCCGCCACATTTGGGGGCAAACATGTCGAAGTAATCCTTCCTGCAGTACGCCTTCCCGTCCTTCTCATGGAAACCTTTGGAGGACACAGAAGGAAAATGGGTTAAAATAATCCTCCCAGTACTTCCAGGACAAAGCGAAGGAATAAAGGCCGTACCCTCCGGGCCAAAGAAGGATCCACACTGAGCGCAGAAGAAATGCTCCGGATGCCAGGTCCGATCCAGCGCTGTCACCACTTTCTGCAGGAACGACAAAAACAGAGCTGACTTCCTGCTGGCGCCTTGGAGCGCACAGAGTGATTCATGGGGGGGAGGGGGGGACTGACGTCCAGGATGGGTCCGTTGCAGTAGTAGCAGCGTGGGGAGAACAGGTGGTGGTAATCCTTCTCACAGTATGGCTGGCCCTCACGCTCAAAGAAGTTCCTGGAGCCAATCTCCTCCTGACAGTGTGTGCACACAAAGTGCTCCGGGTGCCACGTCCGGCCCATGGCCGTCACCACCTGAGACCCAGAGAACACGGCTGGATGATTTTAAAGAATTAATAACAGAGCAGCTAAAACAGAAGTTATCATCTCTGCAGTTCTGCTTCTATAGGCATAGGCTGCTGGAGGACATGACAACATCTTCTCTTCTTTTTGCTTCCAAAAACAGAAAATTAAAAACAAACCACTGGACTTTTTTTCCATTTTTGTGTTATTTGATAGATGAACTTCTAACCTTACCTGTCCAACGATGGGCTTACAGCAGGCGCCACAGACTCCCTTAGCGACCGTCTGCACCCCCAGCTTGTTCAGGTCCGACTGCAGGCTGCCTAGCATGTTGTCGAGCTTGTTGACCTGAGTCGGCGGCCCCCCCGGAGGGCCGGCCTTCCCCTGGGCCAGAATCTGAAACGGTTCCAAACAGAACATCAGATCACAGAGAGGCTGATGGTTTGCGCTGTGAGGCTCAGGATCAGACGGTTCTCAGCAGGAAAACAGATCTAAGAAGGAGACAGATTCCTGCCTGCATTGGAGGGAAGAACAGGTCCGACTCGGTCTGGCAGCCCACAGATACCAGGACTTTGGGCGCAGCCGGTTGTACTGGCTCCACGGGGGGCGGATTGTTAGGGGTGCTAACGATAGGAGGACAGGGTTCTGGTTTAGGGGCTTCCTGAAGGGGTGCCGGTGGGGGAGGGGCCTTTGTGACTTGCTGAGGAAGAGGACGCTGTTCCCGAGGAAGGGTACGCTGTGAGGTAAAGGAGGAAGGTGGGGGAGGTGGTGGTGGTATTGGGACAGGGTGCTGCTGCACTGGGAGGGCTCTCTTTGGTTCTTCTAGAACAGGGGGGCGGCGCAGGTTAGGGGGAGAGAGGGGAGGAAGCACCTTCCTGGAGGGGATGGGTGAGTCAGGAGGAAGAACGATCTGAGGAAGAGAGAGAGGATGGATGAAGCTCCAGACCATTTAGCCTCAAAGTCTGAGCACACCAGAGCAAACCTTGTCCACCTCGCCGGCGGACCCGTCGGGACGGAGGCGCTGTGGCTTGGAGGTTAGCACGACTCCGTCAGTCAGCCACTCGTCGGACTGTTTACGGCGCCGCTCCGGGCGGTTTATGCCCAGCTTCCCCTGAAGCTCCTCTATTAGGCGGTCCTGAGACGAGTTCTTATTCACAATGATGGGTCCCATCTTCCTGCGCAGGTGGCCGTCCCGATACATGGGGTGCACATTGGGGGTCTCTTTAGTGCGTCTGATCACGGACTTTATCTAGGAGGAAAGGGCAGACACCTCAACCCACAGCCCAGTTCACCCAGCAAGCCGGGATGCAGCGGGGGTCAGCGGGTCATGCTCTAATGGACGCCAAGTCAACAGGCATCAAAACAAGTCTCCAGAGAAATCAGTCAGTGCATCAGCAGCCTTCACAGCAGTCCAAGTCCATCCAGTTATAACCATGGTTACAGCAGGTCACACGGGTCAGTTTCCAACAACAAGCTGTTAGTTTTTCAAAGGATTAAATCCAAGAAGTAATTCATCCTCATAAAACCGATCACCAGGCATCTTTTTAAAGAGCAGACTTTAAACGAATCATAACCCGGNGTTATCACAGTGCTAACATTAGCCCAGCTTGTTATCACAGTGCTAACATTAGCCCAGCTTGTTATCACAGTGCTAACATTAGCCCAGCTTGTTATCACAGTGCTAACATTAGCCCAGCTTGCCATTTAAAATGCAATAAAATAATAAACGGGTCTGAGTTGATTGATTGCATTAACATGCGAGACATAAAGGTGCATAGAATGGGATATCCTGCGCACACTTTACTGGACGTCTGACATTAACGCAGACGAGCATCAAAAATTAAGCAGCAGACACTCCTTTGCTGCTAAATACGCATTACTCTTTCTGATTGTTAGAATTAAACTATGAAACAATATTGTAGCTATAAATGATCTCATGTCTTCTATGAAATTTCCAGCTCTAGTTAATCTCACATCCTTCCCATAATCAGGACTAAAGTAGTGTTGGAACAAAGACAAAAAGTTAGCTGCTTTCTACCTCAGACTTCAGAGTCTAAATTTCTAAATTTTCCATGGGGAAGATACTCCCAGACCCCCTACGCCTCACAAAGCCTAAAGACATAATCCACCAGGGTGTCAAACTATGAAATATTCCAAGCTAAAGCCTGAGTGAACGTTTCAGATTTTTCGACCCTGTTAATATATCCGTCATCAAAACAACTCTCTCTCTTTTCCCCAAATAGTAAAGATCTATGCTCTTTGTGAAAACTTATGGAAGCACCGTTTTAGTGAGGTTAGCTGCGTGTGTGCAGACACTCTGCTGCACCTCTCCAAAATTGTAGGTGAGCGCAGACAGGAGGCCTCTGATTGGTCAATTCTACATCCGCTCTACACTGTGCGTATTTCCTGTTTGGTTCCTTACCGGCTTGTTTTGTTTGTATGGCCACCATTGTGGAAAACGACTGGTGAATTTGGACCAGCTAGAAGAGCGAGGTGCGTGAGAACGCCACAACGCCAGAGGGTGCAGACCAAGCTTCAATATTGGGCATAAATCAAAAATATCCGCGTCATACCTGCGACAGGCTAACCGCCACACACTGCTGCGGGAGGATAACCAGCCGTAACCATACGTTTATCATCACTCTAAACCTGGACCTGGTTAGAATAATGGGTTCTGTGCTACTGAAGCGTTACATCAAACAGAAACCGGACACCGTTACCAAATTCTCATCAGACCAACAACCAGCTGGGATGAAAGAAAAGTAGCCATGCTGGCTAATTCTGATGTTTTCTGTATGTTTTTTACCGGCTGTTACCAAGCAGAGGCCAGCATGCACTGAGGCCTCAGCCTCATCATGCCTGCGGTGGCGATGCGTACGTGTCCTGTAGCAGAGACCCGGTCTACACTGGGGGCCTGCAGCAGCTCTAGTGGGACGTCTGGGGTCCCGGGGCAGGAATACGGGGTGATGGACTCGTCCATCCAGCTGGCCTCGGTCAGCGGAGTCATGCTGCCGTCGGTATACAGCCGCTCGGTGAACGGCGTCACGGTGCCGTCCAGCCCGTCGTGCAGCGACAGGGATAGCTCCTCGTCAGCCCAGTCCAGGTCTCCGTTCCCGTCGGTTCCCATGTCTATGGAGTCGTCTGTGATGGTGTTGGTGGTGCTGGTAAAGGTGTCCGGTTGGACGCAGCTTCTGTCCATGGGCAGGATCAGCTCCTCCTGCAGTCCTCTGAGGGAGTGGTCCTCCATCTTCTCCAGCGGTTCCTCCACATCGGATGCTTGTGTCTGAGCCAAACTCATGGCTAAAAGCTTATCCAGGGGCTCGTCCAGAGAAGGTTCAGCTGCAGACGGGGGCTGCAGGGCGAGGGGGGCACCCCTCTGCTCTGCAGGAGGCACCTCTGACAGCTGCCTGCTGGTGCTGGTGAACACCAGAGGAGAGGGGGTCGTCAGGGGGGACACAGCAGCAGGCAGGGGGGACAGAGCTGAGGGGGGAGGGGTGAAGGTTTTTGAAAGTGTCTGAGAGGTGAAATCCAAATCACGGTCCAGAAAACAAGCAGGCCGCAGGCAGGAAGAGTCCGAGGGGCCGAACCTTTTAACCACGGAGGGGGAGAGGCGCTCCGCTGACGGACTGGGGGATTTGGGGGTCTTCCGCTCCAGGACGGTGTTCACAGAGGTCAGGGAGGGGGTGGTGGTGTTGGACAGGCTGGAGTTAGAGGGAGCCGACTGACTGAGGGCGAGCAGGGACCTGGTCTTGGAGGACAGCAGGGAGGCGGACGCATCTAGGACCGAGTCCAGGTCTGCGTCACTGGCGGCCGAGAGAGACGAGGTGGGACTGTTGGGCACGAGGAGGCCTGACTGAGGCGTCGCTGAGCCGCAGGCAGGTCCCTCCTCGTTTATGTGCAACTCCAGAGCGGCAGAGAGAGGAAGGAAACAGGAGGCAGGAGGAGGAAGACCAAGAGAAGAAGAAGCAGCTGGAGGGAAGGAGGAAGGCGCTGGTGTCCCTGCCGGGTCCGACAGGGAGCCCAAAGAAGCGGGCTGGAGAACAGAGGAAGCAGAAGCAGGTGAGAGGAAAGGTTAGAAACGCATTGAGGAGAAGAACAGAGGAAGGAGAACGGCTTTTCCAGCGTCCAGACACGCCGCCGCCGCCTACCTTAAAGTCAGACAGAGACGCCATCAGTTCATCCAGCTCTCTGGTGGCGCAGGAAGCCGACATCCTGCTCTGCTGCTGAGATGATGCGTCCAGATCGTTGTGTCCAGATGAAGAGCTGCAGAGACACGGCAACAATGAAACCTACAGTCAGACGGACTGAGAACGCAGCATTAGACGGGTTTCTCTGGGTTTAATCTAATTCTGATATTTGCCTAGAAATATGCTCTGTGTCGAACATTATCTGATCTGTTTCAAAGTTTTAGATAAAGGCCAAAACAGTCACACCGTGTTTCATCCACACGCCTGTCAAATAGGGCTTTAAAATTTCTAAATCAAGTTTCAAAATTATTTCTTTTCACAAATATTTTTTGTTGTATAGCTGTGTAAACAAAAACTGAGATTCAAAATTCCACCTGACATGTGTGACTCTGTGGGAGTAATGCATCAGCAGGTTCATTTTTAGCCCCGCCCACTAATGGCCACCATCTTTGGAAACTAGAGGCTCAGACCTTTCCAAGGAGGGGTCAGAGGTCATTGTGTATGGAAGCAAATCGTTACCATATTTAAAATGAAAAAGCATTTCCAGAAATGCTTTTTCATTTTAAGAATGTGGCTGCATTGTTTGACTCATAAATGAAATTAGTAATCAATCATCCTATTTGCATTTTAATTTTCTTCTTTAACACTGCACTTTTATGCCCTAATTAAGGAGAAAACACAGCGGACATTGCTTTTTCATTTCCATGGTCTGCCTGCAAAGTACTGTCCACAACTCGAAAACGAAAAAGCATTCAGGCTACCCATCTTGTTCGGTAGGGGGCGCTGATTATAGCAGGTAACAGGTGTTATGCCCAAAAATGCATGCCTGCCGAGATATGCATCCCTTTTCGCGGGAGCGCGCATCGCTCTGTTCAACTGCATATTGACAAGGAAAACTGATTAAAATACAACCAATGGAGCTTGGCTTCTTATATTAATGATATAGAAACCTTTAAATATACCTCTCGTGGGAAATAAATGTGGTTATTTGGCAGATTCATTTACAAAAATATGGATTTTTTAAATAACATTAATTCCAAAGATTTTGACCGAGGTACGGCTGATTTACTTGTTGTGGTCTCTTGTTATTTACACACAACAATAAACCGTGAGTTTTGAAATTGCAAAGCTTTCTCTTAAAGCTACAGTGTGTAACTTTTAGTGACATCT